GGGCCGCAAGCTTGGGGGGTAAACTGCCGTTCGCGCCCAAATCCATCCGTTAGTCGTTGGAATTGGCATATTTAACCGTTTTATCTGTTCTTATGCAGGGTCTCCACTTCCGCAGGCTTTCTGTTTGAAAGCTGCACGAGTGCGCGGCCTCAGCTCTAACGAGGCTGCGACGTACGTGAGGCGCCTTAGCACGGTATTGTGCACGGTAAGTCTGGGCCGCAAGCTTGGGGGGTAAACTGCCGTTCGCGCCCAAATCCATCCGTTAGTCGTTGGAATTGGCATATTTAACCGTTTCGTCTGTTCTTATGCAGGGTCTCCACTTCCTCAGGCTTTCTGTTTGAAAGCTGCACGAGTGCGCGGCCTCAGGTCTAACGAGGCTGCGACGTATGTGAGGCGCCTTAGCACAGTATTGTGCACGGTAAGTCTGGGCCGCAAGCTTGGGGGGTAAACTGCCGTTCGCGCTCAAATGCATCCGTTAGTCGTTGGAATTGGCATATTTAACCGGTTCATCTGTACATATGCAGGGTCTCCAGTCCGCATTGTGGAGCCCGCGCCAATAGCCAAGCTGTGTTTGTCAGCGGCACAAGAGGACGCTTCATTATGGCAGGCTTGCCAACTGTTTGCTTTTGCCATGTATTTGGGTTTTGCGTCTCACATGGCGATTGGCCATGTGAACGATACCCGCTTATTTATCGGATAGGTTCATGACTTGATTGAGGAGGCGGGGACTTCCTGCAGAGCATTTGCACAATGGGTCATATCGCGGGTAGGGAGGACTTTCGTTTGTGTGTGTGTGAGCAGCGCCCTGGCAAGTGGCAAGTTTGCTTGGCTTATGCAGACTTTGTCATTAGTGCAACTCATGCATCAGGATGCTGCTGTCTTTGCTGCTCTAATTGCCGAGCCTCGTCAATCTTGTAACACAAGGACGAATTTCTGCACTCATCCCTTCGACTCGCACACTTTGCACTTCCGAATTCGAGCAGCTTCAGTGTTTGACTGGTCCGCGCTTCACTTGGGATCCGTTTGTCCCTTCTCTCTGATCAGCTATGTGCCCCAAATTTAGTTCG